GGAGTTGCAGTTCTCTTTGATTTAATTTCTATCAGGTCACGTTTTTCGCCGCAGCTATGGTACTGACGGGTCGTCGAGAAGACGAGAATCGGCACTGTGTAAGTTGCAATGTAGTTCGGCCACTTGACGAAGCGCCAAGCATAGCCTACAAAATATTCTGTGCTGGTGGTCCATCACATAACCACCCCTAGTCTGGGTTCCAGGCCCTAATTTTAGGTTAATCACTTTTTAATGCACTTAGTGCGCGCTATACCTAATTTAATTGGCGTCCTATACTCAATTTCTATTTTTTCGAATGCCGTCTCTAAAATTAACTTTCTCGTTGGTGGCGCTGTCCAGAATGAGAAAAATAATAAAAAATAAGAGACTTGTGGCAGGTCTAAACAAAGATACTAGAAATACAAGATAGAGTTCTCCACACAAAAAAAGTGTTCCACCGAAATGCATGGTGGGAATACAAACGCCCCCTACAGCTGGATCTAAAAAAACTTCTGCCAAACTTTCGTTACCAAGTCGTCGCGTATTTTATTATCAATTCACTTTTTATTTACTAGATATAAAAACAAACTGGAATAGACACCCAGAGGTGACGGAACTAGAGGGTTATGGAGAGTAATGTGTGACCGGAAATGGTCTGCAGTCAGTTGGTTGTTACCATGCGCCAGTGATGTTGGAGTATATAGTACAGCCTCATTCGAGAAATACGGGTAGCTGAAGTTTTTCTCGCAAATCTGACTACAAAACCATATCCAAATTCACGTTCCACTTCTGAGCCTGTGTTGTGCTTCGCACACGCCGCTGAGGGCGGCGTTCCGGGAACCCTGCGTCCAGACAGTGACATCGGTGCACATAACCTCCTTGGTGGCGGTAAAAATCGTTGCTATTATCCAAATAAAACACAAAACAATTAAAGCATAATCATGAATCAGTAAAGAATAAAACAACAATACAGCGCAGAATCGTATGCCCGGACGCACTCTTAGTGAAAAAGTTTTCCTCCATTAGTGGAAAAGGAAGGGCGCCTTTTGCGTCTGGATATACTTAGCAACAGAAGGGCGCCCTGTACGTTGGGCACGAAGTATAGAAAACTTGCATGGTTAAAAAGAAGAGCGCCGCTTACGTTGGATACGACTTCCGCCTCATTTTTACAATGCGAGTGCTCTATCTTGTATTTCAAGTATCTTTGGTCTAAACCACCCCGAGTATCAATTACAGGATTCTTCGCATGTTGTGATGCTGCTTTTTCGAGATTATTTTGCGCCATTTGTTTGCCATCCTATTTTGAAAATACTGACAATTGTAGTTTATATTTTGTATCTGGGAATATCCATACTTGGTGTGACACATCTTCAAGGTCTAGAGCTAAGGAACATTGCATCTGACAAATCGTACGTTGTCCCATTTTATGACTACGAAACTCAATTTTTTAAGACAGGGGCGGATTTAGGGGGGGGCCGGCCCGGCCCCGGCCCCCCCTTTTGGGAGGTAAAAAAAAGAAAAAAAAAAGGAAAAAAAGAGAGAAAAAGAAAAAAATGACAGCCCAGAATGCCTCAAATGTTATGTTCGGGCGTCTAGAACACAAAAATTTCGCGGGGGCATGCCCCAGACCCCCTACGGCAGTGTTGTCTCAATCGGCCCAACTTTCGGCCCCCGCTTCCAGCCCCCCCTTTTGGACATTTCTGGATCCGCCCCTGTAAGAGGTATGGTTCGGCTGTCGCTGTTGTTTTCAACGATGAACATGAATATTGGAAACCCGCTGTAACAAGAGGAGCTCGATGATATCGTTGCACGATTTGAAAGTTCTCAATTCACACATGAAGATACATTCACAACATGATGGCTTCGGGATTATTTCGACTACCTTGACGTAGTGGGGAATAATGATCCATCGAAAGAGGACTCCTTTAGAATTCTTACTGAAGAATTCTTACAATTTGACATTTACAAACAATATTCACTAGATATAATCTTCAACGTAGAGGCTAACTCGATTAAAACCTCGCGATTTTATGTTCTAACGCGTGATATAACAAATTCTACACGAGAAACCGCCATGATGAATAATATGCGAAAATTAGCAGACGATGCCGACGAGAATATAATTGTCTTCCATCCATCGTTCATATTTATCGACCAATACGAGGCAGTTTTGCCAAACACTGTACAAAACCTGTGTATAGCTCTAGGATCTATGCCCCTGGTGTCTTTGCTTCTAATACCAAAGCCAATTTGTGCCATATGGGTGGCACTGTCTATCGCCTCGATTGAAGTTGGTGTTGTTGGTCTGATGTCTTTCTGGGGAGTTAAGCTTGATTCGTTCTGTATGATAAACATCATAATCTGCGTCGGATTCGGTGTAGATTTTCCGCCCATGTGACGTACGCATTCTCCATTGCTGATGGTTCAACGAATGATGCCAGGGCTAGGGCAGCTTTTTATACACTTGGTTTTATGCACTTGGTTTGCCAATTGCACAGGGCGCATGCTCCACTATCCCCGGCATTATGGTACTGGTTTCATCTGACATTTACATAATTATTCTACACCTTTTCTAAGACTATTTTTCTCCTCATTACTTTAGGGTTGGTCTATGGCCTGTTCATATTGCCAGTTCTGTTAATGTTATTTAGTCAGGCTCTGTGTGGCGGTTCTGATTCCATCCCACAGGACGTTTCCGGGCATGATGATTTTGAAATACTTCAATAAAGATGATTGAGAAATAATTGGAGGTCTTAGTTTTCCGGGTCTTCAGTCTTCGTTTTGTAGACACCCACATAGGGTGTCTGCAAAACGAAGACCCTTGATTATTTCACAAACAAAAGTTCAAATTACCTCATAATTATGATTTTGTAGCAGCCTGGTGTAGTATCATTAAAAAAAAAATGTGGGTCTTTGTTTTTCGTATCTTCGGTCGCCGTTTTGAACATCCTATCTACAAAACGAAACCCAAGTATTTCTTGGTATTCCTCTTTTATTTCAATTAAATGAAATAGGTACTTGGCAACTGTTTTATGATGATTCTGAAATGCTTTCAATAAGATAATTGAGAAATAATTGGAGGTCTTCGTTTTTCGGTCTTCGTTTTGTTGATAGGTCTTCGTTTTGTATATAGGGTGACTACAAAACGAAGACTCTTTCCGTAATTTTGATTTTGTGACAGCCTGGTGTATTATCATCAAAATAAAAGAGAAAAAATAGGGGTCTTCGTTTTTGGGTCTTCAGTCTTGGCCAGATGGCCTGACCTCACTAGTTATGTATGAGGTAGCGGTAGACCTGTCAATAACAGACAGAACATTTCAAATAACCTTTCTTGTATTTATTATGCAAAGTCGAAGTAGGCCTATAACGTAAGGAAAACAGCCTCTGTAGAAGATATATTCAATAATAATATAACAATGATAAATCTACAAATAATATAGGCATCAAATCATATATGTAATTTAAGTAAGTATGTTAAGTAAACTGGAAACATTAAAAGGGTAAACATAATTGACTTTAAACACAAAGTTATTTGAACACTTACGAATGTGTTAATCATAACTCAATTATCTGTGCCATAATTAGTTATCATTATTACCATTAGTATTACAGAATAGTGTCATTAATTTGATATAAATTAAATTGTGATTGAATGATAACCCCTTACCAGTTTGTAGCAGTTACCCAGTATTTTCTATTCAAGATAGTACGAATACAGTAGTTAACATAATCTATAGAAATAATATTATATGAGACATAATAATGTAAAGCACAAAATACTTAATATTTAAGCTAAATGATTAACGATATGGACCTATTGCCCACCATCAAACAATAATGCAAAGCGCCACCTATTAGCAACTATCAAATATATAATGGAAGCCATCTTCAGTTAGCCACACATGTAAATCCTTATCATTATTTTATGGAATTACAAATCAATCATACCAATACTTTACTAAATAATGCTCAGCACGTTAGTAATGCTTAGTCAAATGGTTGAGGTCTCCCTGATTGAGTATGACAATTACAGAATGCTCTGATTTACTGCACTACAGTAAATGTGAGTTTAATACTTTTCATACAATTAATAAGAAAATACATAATAATAGCAATTGTAACTACTTACAGTTATTCTTAAGTAAATTTCAACAAACGCAACAGCTTAACATAGTCTACATCTGCTCAATTTGTCAAAACAAAGACAGAAAAAGGCTATTTTTGACTGCTGCTTGACATGGGTGTCAATTTATATCAATCATACCAATATGCAGTGACATGGGTGTCAAGCCAACTAGTTCTAAACTAATTCCTCTATGCTCTTACAATTGGATACTTACGGGGTACATTCCATTGCTGTATGTTCCATTAATTATTTAGGTAGTTGGCATTACTAAATGACTATAATGAACATCTTTAACATCAAAAACCCTAACAGTAATAAAAAGAATTATGTCGACTGTATAATATTACTATTATATTACGCACAATACAAAACATCGCATAAATATTTTTTGTTTCCTTCCTGTGAATTAACCTCTTTTGTATGTTCCTCTGCTTAATTAGGTGATACGCTTCAGCATATCACCTATTGTTGTTCTTAAGATTTAAATAAATAAATAAATAAACAAATTAAGCATGGCCAATTCCCATACGTTTGTATCGAACATACAGATCCGTGCGCACGTTTGTGTCGACATACAGTGAAAATATGCCAAATCTTAATCAGTTACAGCTCCTTAGGATTCGTGGTGACTCCAAAATTGTATTGCATATTCTGAAAGCACATGAGTTGTAGATAGGCCTATGATTTTATAGATCATAATGGCTGACCGGACATTGTGACGTCATCATATTGCCATCTGAATTCAAAAGACCGAATTTTTATCTATGACGTCAAAAAAAGGATTAGCCTTTATCTGGTGATTAATGTCTTAGGTTTTCACACCTACACATAAGCAATCCTTGACTGATGCACATTCATTTTATAATGTTCATTTTATAATGTTAATAGAAACGCATTTGCCACTAAATTTTAAAATTTTCAATGCAAATCAATGTTATGTGCTACTAACTTACTAGTTGACATTTATTTAGTTTTTTGGAAAGAAAATAATGAAATTATGTCTCTAAATGGAAGTACATATGCATCAACTGAATGTAGTACAATTGTATATCAGTGTGATTAATCTGCTCAATAAACAATTTTAATTACTTGTGTAAATATAAAGATATGGGTAACCCACATCTTTATATACGACTTTTCATGGATCTCCACCTGCTATGCTTGTTAAAATACTCATTTGAGCGTATCTCGCTTATCCTCGATCAATCTTCTCTTAACTTTGAGTATGTTATAGCTGAGATAATTCTCTTTCATATATCAATGCTTTTTCATTTTAATGACGTCATCATGGTCAAAATAAATGTTTTTTCTGACCCCCCTCATCTTTTTTTTCTCAAAACTTTGATGACCCCCATATTATCCTAACCAGTCGCCATTAAAGGTCAATGTTGAATATCATGTACAATATTTTACGATTTATTTACGATTCAAATAGCGCGTACGTGTTCGTTAATTTTTAACATTTTTGAGATCACTTCTTTTTTGCCGTTGAAAACTATCGCATTCAGCGTATCAGCTAAAATTCGTCGGTGACGAATTGACTTCTAGTTTCTACTGTTATTAACATTCCCATCATTCCTTTACAATTTTTCATCCAGTTTTTCGGGGTTTTTTTCTTCGATTTCTGGCTTCTTTGGTAATTTAATAGTATACAGCATCTAAAGAAAAAAAAATATCTATGAATGTTTGTTTTTCCCTTGAAATTGGGTTTGGCAATTTAAGGGCCTATACAAAGAATATAATAATATTAGTCATAGTAATATTTTATTTATAAAGGTTCAAAGTATTTGCAAAGTTATTACTTCTAGCTATAAAAACAGTATTCTTTATACATCTGTACTGTCGAAAAATTGTCTTGTTACAATTTTAAATTAAAGCTAATAACTTAAATACATACTGCAAAGCAATTTAAATATTAAACTGGTAAAAGATCTGTAAATCATAAGTGTTACCATGTGTGTCTCATTCATCCAGCTATACCCATTGAAAATGCAATCATCCTGAGCTGTTTGTCATATGATTGGCTTTTAGGCAGCTTGCATCATTTATTTCAATGCAAACGTGATATGTATACATTGCTTTTTTTTTATTAAAATGTATTCTAGTCAAAAACCACGGATCTAGGTCAGATGGTCGAAATCTAGTTTGCCGAATGCCAGATTGCCGAGACCACCTTGCCAAATCCTGGTTTGCTGAATACCAGTTTGCCGACTCAAAAACAATGAATCCCAGTTGGTCGAAACCCAGTTTGTCGAAAGTCAATTAAGTGAAACGTTAACAACAGCAGAATAAAATTCACGATGGAATACCGGTAATCTCTTAATATTACCATGGACCTATAAATCCATGCTCTTACCATGGCTGATCTTTACCAAAGGCAGACGCTCGCTTTTTAAAAGATTCTCTTTTTTTTTTAAATGAAATCAAATCAATCAGATAAAATGTCCCATAGGCCCTATTTGCCTTAGGCTAAATGATTAAATCTGCACCGCGGCGCTTATACCATTTTTGGAGGCTTCAGTGCGGCGCTTTTCATACCCGTTCCAATATTACCTATCTCAAAGTTTTTCTCAAAGTGTATCATTACCCACAGGGTAATATTGACTTTCGATCAAGCACCGCGGCGCTTATTCGAGAGCAACGCTTAGCCAAAAAAAATCACGTTTGGTGCGGCGATTATTTGAGCAGGTACGGTACATTAAATATATAATGTTCAATTAAGATAATAATATGCATACCTTAAGGAAATAAATCAAATAATAATCTACAATAATACACCGTCGATGTTCACCTCGAGAAGTGACGTCTTGAGGCTGGAATAACGATACGCCATTTGCGTCTCTACAAATTTGATAGTTTCGCTAATTAACAGTATCACAATGCATTTGATACATTATACATGACGATATATTTTTAAGCATACAAACCGGAAATTGCTGCGATGGGATAAAT